GGCTTAAGCAGAACACAACGGTGTACAATTGTGATTTTTGTTTGGAATTAAGAAAACAATTCAACGAAATATATATTTTAATTGTATATAAAATCATAACCACTGCATTGACAGGTATCGATTATCAAAGATATAAAACGGAATGCCTGAGGTGTTATGAAAAATAAAATACGTTAATAAACAAATCAAGATATCGAACCATTTTAAATACCATCTTTGTTCAAAGAATAGTAAAAACCTTTTACATTCCTATTTAACAAAAGATGCTGTACGCAAAATATTTCACTAGCAAAGGTTAGTTATAATCGAATTAGCATTCCATAGAAACTTTCAAAAGAGCAAATTACCAAAATGTGTTGTATAAAAAGACAGAAAGGGAATGATTAGTATCCCATTTGATGATGAATATCTCCTTATAGTGGACATGCAAATATCGTATAATAAATCAACGATTACTGCGGACAAGAACGTTACGATAAGCGACGTTATCATGTCTTAGTTTTAACATAAATTCTTCTTGAATTCATGCGAATAGCAATATTTTTAGTTTGTCTTAATACGTACTTAGTACGTGAGGTAGTCAGTGTGATCCTTTATAATTGTAAGAATAAATTGTTTTTGACATTACCATTTGTTCCAACTGCGGAAAAGCACATATAATGCAGTGCAAACCTTTGTCGCATTTTTGTAAGTATCTCTTTTTAATGTTCATCAATAATGGACTAAAAACAGGGGTAGTTAGCCATGATGCAATATTATATCCTTGCGCTCCGCAAATGGAAATTACTTCTTTAGTCGTGTAACAGCAGTTTTAACGTAATCTATTTCAGTCTAGAAAAACTGTCGACCAAATTACTTGCGTACTGGTTTCCTAGTTTCCGGTTCCTAGCAGTTTTCCGGCCGTTTATCATTTTCGTCCAGTACAGTCTATATTTACCAGTAAGGCATCCACATTACTTCACCAATCAGAGAGACATTTGTTTTCTATGCTAAACAGCATTTAAAATAGTACAACGATTTATATGTTTTGAAGTTTTGCCTTTTATTTAAAGTTACATAAGAGAACTTGCGACATTCAAAAATAAACAACACCTGGGGAATTCTAGTTTGAATATCCATGCGCAATAACTAAGACCCCATTTGAGGTAAATCAATACTTCGAAAAATATTTTTGCAGACGACATGGAAAAGGTTGGGAAGTTTGTCTGATAAAACCTTCGTAACATTGCTTTATGGTATTGAATTATATTCCAAATAAAAAAGGTCCGGAAAACTTCTATGAATTTTTGAATAAAGGTGAAAAATGGTGTAACATTTCAGGCCTATATTCAAATTAAAAAGTTAAATGAAAATGCAGCATTAAACACATGACAATGCTAGACAGGTACCTAACTTTGTCCTGTCAAAGTTTTGTACCCCTCCGTAGACTGATTTTTATTTTATTTGTTAAAAAGTGCGATTTGTGGCCGGAAACTGCTAGGAAACCAGTAAGTGTTTGTAATGAATGGTGTTGTGTTAAAGAGAAAATAAGGTGGCGGCGTGGTCGACTGGTAAACACGTCGACCTAGTATCTAAGGATTGCTGACTGCGTGGGTAAAGTCAGGAGCAAGCCGTTGTTTCCTGGAGCAAGAAACATTAAATTCATTGCTTGCTTAGTACTGGTTGGTTTCAGGAACAAATTTGAGAGTGTTTCAATAAAAAAAGCTTCAACAATCGAACTAAAACTAAACAGTAAAACACGAAACGAGATGTTACAGCTTACGTACGTGGGTTTGTGTCTACATCATCTGATAGCATAACTATATTTCCTTATTTAGACAAATACTTTTTGTCATGTATTCAAATTCAAATATGTTCCTCAAAGGATTTCAAGTGGAAAATCAAGGAAAATATGCGTCATGGTGACGTGGGAAATTCGCGGAGAGAAAAGTAACAACACGCGAAGTTTTTCCAGTTTGGTATTATTTCTGTCCCTGTTTTCTGACGCAATTGTGCACGCTTTTTGTATTGCAAAATATGCGTTTTTTGTATATAACGGTCCTGTTATTCATGAACTATCATCTAAATTTCAAATTGCTGAAGGAAAAGGAAATTCGTCCTTTTGATTTATAATTCAAAATATGTAAAATGACCAATTTGCTTACAACATACTAACAACAGCAGGTGTCAGGTGCTGTAGGGCAGCTATAGTAATCTTCAATGTTGATATATTTCCGAGTCTTTCGGGATCACTGAATTTCCAGCATTCTATTGTGTTAAAGATTGAAAACTGATTTAGCCGGTGCTAGGGGGCATGGGGACGCAGCAATTCCATTATCCCTCTTGAACAATTTCACTTAAATCAAGTCTGCAAGTTTTCACTTTTTAACATGGTTTTCAATTGCTCCCAAGGGATCTCCTCATTTCAGTAAACCGAAGTGATTTATACGGTTTAATAAAAAAATATGATAAACAAGATCAACAAGGAAAGGCGGCGTTCAATGAACGCAACCGAGCCTGCAACATTTAACAATTTTCCGTGTTGGGCTTTCTTTAGGGATTCTGATTTTCTCTATTTTATAAAGTAACGCAAACAATTTGCATGCGTTTTATATATATATATATATATATATATATATATATATATATATATATATATATATATATATATATATATATATATATATATATATATATATATATATATATATATATATATATATATATATATATATATATATATATATATAATTATGTCAAGCACTGAACCGGACTTGTTTTATTTGTATTTCAATAATTCAGGATTGCTTATTTCAGGTCAGTGCTCGGCCTGAATAAATGAAATAAAAAACTGTAGATAGTAATTCAGTTTTTCTATATATTTTAATATTAAGATACATGTGTATTGAAAATTTTGTTTATGTATACGGAATTATCTAAACGACAAAACCGATGATTAGTTATAAAAAATATATTTTCTAAGGTAATGCTGTGATGTATTTTTCAATAATACATTTTTTTAGACAAAATAATAATTACTATGGTCGTTGTACATTGTATAATTACTTTTATAGTAAACGTATCAAAACATATATTCATATAGAGCACAATTTCGTTGAAAGAAAATCTAACGTTTGTTTCCAATGCCCATTGAGATCGATGTAAGGAATGATTTATGAGCCGTCTTAAAATAAGCATAGCAAATGCACCTTGCATGACAAACGAAATTGATGAAAGTTTCTTGAGCTTGGACCCCCAAAGGGATTAATAATTGACAATTTCTCTAAGTTCAGGCTCACTATAAACAAAATATGTCGAAATAAACTGAAATCTGTAAAAATTTAAACATCTTAGATTCATTTGTTTTACGGTATGAAAGTTTGTTTCCATAAATATTTGTGTGATTATTTTAAACAATAGATTTAAAACATATAATATGTTTACATCTTCATGCTATCGATATCTTTTGTGCTATCGATTTTTTATTATTTCTACTAATATCATATCCTAACTTTAAATCAAGCTTGCGATTGATATGTATTTACACATTCTGATTAAAATCCTCCGCTTTTAGATCTGACCGTGATCATATACGAAATCATTTCTGGTGACAATTCAAACAGCCAATAATCGGCGAGCTTTCATAATTTCGAAAGCGATGTGGTTTCTAATTTGAACCCTGGGAAAACTAATGCAGAGTAGATAATTTTCACAATTTCTAGAACAAACATGGCGTTGTCCATATAGCCGACAGGTAAACTGGCAAAACAATTTTGCCCTCTATTTTTTCAAGTTTATTTGTTAAAAATTACTTTAAATACATTTTTCTAACAAAAAATCAACAATTTTTTTTAACTTCCACGGATAACATTATTTTGATACTCCTTCTAATGCATATGTAAAAACCGGTTTAATTGCATGTCTCGAGGAAATCTATATTATAAAGAAGGCAAAACATATACGGTCGTCATCTACATAAAAGAAAAAAGAAGATCTGAACTTAAATCATATTGGTGATTAAATGACATGCTAGTCAAATAGTATGTCTAGTTTCAGATATATTTCAAGGTTATTTATCTCTTTGCACGTCCCTAAAATACGAGAATTCCATGACAATTACCATTGTCTGAAATATTCAAAAGTACGCAGCAATATGCTTAATGCTCAACAGAACGCTCTAGACACATTGGTGTCTTTTTACATGTTATCGCAGAAACTTAATCAAAATCAGTAAAGCACGTCAACCTTGGTATGGGAGAGGACATTCATAAGCTTTATAGCTTTCTGCCCAATCCCAAAATGTACTATGTAAATATTGTTCACTTGTTAAATGTTTTGTTGAATAAATATGTTTAAACCAACCTTGGTATACTGGTATATTGTTTAGCAAGTTAAGTTTTGTTCAATCCAAATGATATACTTTTTTGAAACACAAAACAAATCTGTGAGACAGAAATATAAGAAAGTGATTGTGATGTATATATAGATGTGTGTATGTGTGTGTGCGTGTGGTGTGCGTGTGTGCGTGTGTGCTTGTGTGTGAGTTAAATTGAAAGACGTATACATATTTCGGAGGCCAAATACAAATAGTGGTTTTTGCCCATTTTCCTCAAGCTATAGTGTTCATAATGAATTTAATTCAATATAATGGTTAATTAATATACTTGACTTTGTATAAATCATAAAATAGAATGGCACTTTCTTTGTTTGTTTGTTTCATTATACATACGCCTTTCCCAAAATGGCACTTTCATTTTGTTATATTTGTAACATTATTATGCTGTTTGATGTTTGATTGCCCATCTGTCAATGTGCGTGTGCGCGCGTGTGTGTGAGTGGTCGCATTAACTTTTTTATAATGTTCATTACACGCGTACATGTATAAGTAAATTTAAATGAAGAGAGAAGTGAAATGAAATTCTCAAATTTGTCAAATGTACGTTGGCGTTTGATCTAATATAGAATACTCTGTCTTATTTAAACGGGCAAGATATCGTTTCCTCTTCTTTATTAACTTTATTAACAGAGAATCACAGGTTGTTCAAAATTCTCCTTTCATAAAGGTAGAAAATGTTAAACTTAAATAGTAATAATGAAATAGTCAATTTTGGGAAGTTTTGTTCAAGTGAGATTATCCCTGTTATTTTGCCTGAAACTGAACAAATGAAACTGTTGCGCATGCGCACAACTGAAGCTTCAAACGTTATTGGTAGTTTTAGCCAGCTCTTGCACCTTCTTCAAAGGCAGGAGTCCCTGGTACCGCGCATGCTGTAAATGGAAATATAGAGAATGTCTTAAACTTGAAAATACATAGTCATTTGATATAGAATTTGAAGCACGTACCATGGCATTTTATATTCTTTTCACCTTACCATGTCAAATAATTTGTTAAGTATATTAAGCTATAGTCTTGGTAGATATATTTTTGGAATAAAAGATTGTTCACCAAACTGTCTAAAAGATAAGTAAAAAGAATCATTAAGGATGTTTCATTTGTCTATGATTTCTCAAGGGAAGAATCTATGACACAAAAAATAACTAATATAATTATTAAGTCATATGTTAATAAAAAAGCTAATTGACTGATATAAGTATATGGTAAATTATTAAGCAAAGACCGAATTATTAACACCACAATGGTGTTTAGAAAGAACAAATTTCAGATCATGTCCGTCCTTTGATTCGTTGCATAACTGTTAAATAGCGCTGGCATAGCCGAGTGGTTAACCCATCGGACTAGATATCTTAGGATCGCTAGAGGTGTCGTTTCAAACCCCGTAAGGGTCAAGCCCTTGTTTCATTGAGAAAGATACTTTACACTCATCGCTCAGTACTGTTTATTTGTAGGAATCAATCCTAGAGTGTGTTTATAATTGCTTCCTACATAATAGAACAATTATAAATTCTTTATAATCTAACTTTCAAATTTTAGAATAGAAAAGGAAAAGTGCCAATTCTGTTTATGTTCTGCTTAACTTTTATACGTTTTGAAATTTGCTGAAACAGTAAGAATCCCACATGCATTGTCAACAGTTTGTGAACGGAAACTACAAAAATGTAGTACTCTATCAACTCTATAGCAATAAAACAGACCTTCGTTATTTGGAGTTCTCCAACCCCAAAATATTTGTGGGTCTTGATCGTCTTTGATTTCTTGGGAGAAACAATCTTTAAAAGTACTTTCTAACTCGCTCCAATCTATGTCGTTGAGTATTATTGGACCTTCTCGAATACCAGCGTCATTTATATCCGTTGTCCTCTGTTCCTAAATATAGTCCGTGAAAATATATTGCAATTTGTTTTTGAAAAATTTATTATGTCAATATTCCTAAAATAACCTTACTGTAACTGTCGCACTATCAAAAGGTGCTAACATTTCCGTACTTTGTTCTCTAGTTTCATTAGGCATGAATATGTTAAGCACAAAGACAAAACGAAAATGAAGACTAATGAAGCTGTTAATTAAAAATTAATTCCTTGTAAAAAATGTACATGTACAAAAATTAAATTAATACTATATTTCTCCACATTATGTTTAAAAAATAAATTGAAACGGTTAAAACAACATTTAATTTTTCATAGACTGAGTAAAACCTTTACATGACCCATGTTTCCTCTTTTCTAGAGAACTACTGTATGTGACAAATAACTCATGAATGCATTAGTACAATTAGATCATTCAAGGGCGCATTAGCCGTCGGAAGAAAATTTTAGTCTAGCAAACCAGGGTAGAAAATTGTTTAGGCTTCATTGGCTTTAAATGCTTCTTCTCACCCGGAAAACTGCTACTAGTTCTGAGTTCGGACACCTGCCATCTCGCACGTTTTGGGAGTCGTAGCAAATGAAGAAGATGCACCATTGTATAGGCTCTCGTTTAGACCAAACAAAATAGTCCATTCTGTTATCTGTTATAAATGCATTCCCTTAAATAAAGAAAATATGTTATTGATATATTGTTTCGATTCAAAAGTCATGGCAAACAAATAGGCTTACATGCAGAATGAATTATAATTATTTTGTTCCGTATATTAATGTCTTTGTTGATAAGTCTTTGTAAACATAATATTAACACGATTTGCGGATCATACATTATTATACTCGTATAGTAATTAAGCTCTGAATTGTACAATATACATATTTATCACATACTCAGTCTTCTTTTGCGACTGCGTAAGAATTGTATTGCACGGCCGGGCATATTGTTTGACGTGACGTCATTTGCGTTATACAAAAACACAGCGTTTATTCAACTGGTTCAATAATTTTAGTATTGCGCCAACACTCATTCAATATCCTCTATATACTTACTACGTGGTTAAATATTTTGTCATATATTGTCTTTTCATTAGTTTTATCAAGTGAAAAAAAAAATAAACAAACAAACAAACAAACCTCACTCAAATTTATATCGTACTATTCTCTCCGGAAGGTCACTATAATCTTGCTTTCCAGAAATATGTTTATACGAATATCCAAATCATACATTTCTTTTGTTTCTATCCATATTTGAAATACTTATGGAAAATGTACTCAGTCATGGAAGACCAATTCATTTTAATGGATATAAATTATAATTTTTTATGCTTTTACCTACCGCTTACGGAACGGAATATAGCACGATCTCCATCTATCCTCTGAAATACCCCATCAGCAAAAATGCATGATTTAGTTTCACTAAACCTGAATGAATATTAAATATCATTTTGTAAATATAGATATTCATAAGTTTAATAACTAGGATTATACTGTAGTATTTCAGTCACTTGACAAAAATTTTTGATGAATTGGGTCTTCTATTATTTATAGAATTTTCCAGTGCAAATTACTTGTACTGAATTAAGTAATAGAAAGAGCACCGAAACACGAGGCTATCTGATTTGTACGAGGGGGCGTAGCCCCCGAGTATTAATCAGATTGCCGAGTGTTTTGGTGTTCTTTCTCTTTTGTATCATAGTCAAACATAAAAGCACGTTCCCTGTTGTCAAAAGATGAAACCCCGGCAAAAATGAACCAATGAACGAACATCTGAATATGACATTTCTGTCGCTTTCTTTTTCTCTGCCGTCACAATATGTAAACCCCAGCAAAAATGAGCCAATCAATGGGCTGCGGGTAACTAATACCCGCACTCCAGTTAACGCACTGTGCATGTATATTTATACGATTTAACCCTGACACATTTTCAACAGAAAGGTCTCCAAACTATGATACAAGTGATATAAGACTTTTTGTTAAAAAATACAAAGTGAATAAAATTGTAAAATATTATGAAAATGTTGCTTAAGTTATCGGAAAAGGTCATAGGCACTTAGAATGATAATTTTACCAGCAACATTTCCATAATTAAATTAAAATATAAATTTTTTTAAAATGTTATTTTAAGTCTTATCATCCATTATATTAAATCATGGTAACAAGATTAAATCACGTAAACATGCAGTTGTGGAAATCTGGATACTTTATTACCAATTGCAACCAAACCGAAAACTTTTCCTTTCAGAGTGACCAGGAATAATTCTTCAAATGATTAGCTTACTATGTATTTATTCAAATGTTTGTTAACGTTTTACGAAATTAAGTTTTACTTATTTAACCTTTTGTAACCATAACAACTGTTAGAATTTCACTTGGCGGGGATTCATTTTATTTACACTGTCTCGTTTATAGGAACATGGTGGGGCTAAGAGCGAGGTTTGGTGCACCATTAACCGGTTTAAACTCCCCAGTATTATTATGCTGCTGACCGTTCCAAGGCGGCGCCCCTCTGTGTTCCTCAGATGTATGTCTATGTTGTTTTATACTGATTTGGTGACACTTTTGCTCGTGTCTCTTGTTGTTTCTCGTCTACGGTAAGTATCTTCCCTTGTCCCTAGTTTTTATTTATTTTATTCGCCCCCCCCTTCCCCGTGTCTCATGTCCCCTTCCCCTGTGCCTTTTGATATAATGGGCCTTATATTAAATCATTTATTTGTTTTGTTTTAGTTCCTTATAAGTTACTAATTATGTATTCTGATGTAGTGGTTTGCCTGCCCGTACTCTGCCTTGTGCCCTGTCCTGTTTTTCTTTGAAGTCCTCCTGGGCTCCTTGCCGCTGACGCTTGTTGCTGGGTCGGATGGGGGCTGCGTTCATTGAATGCCGCCTTTCCTTGTCGATCTTGTTTATCATATATTCACTGAGGTCAAGAAACCATAAAAACATAAAAAATTTGAATTTCTTCCGTAGATAGCTTGGGTATATAAAACAAAAAGATATGCATAACATAATTAAGAAATATACTTAGAAATAAAATAAAAATCATCGTATTTCTTATTGCTCAGATTAGAGTGTAAAGCGTTTCAACGCTTTTTTAACTTCGGGTTATTTTTCAAAGTTAAAATAATGATTTTTGAAAAACGGCGTGATCCAATGATCTGAATCACACACGTTAGTAGTCTAGATCTACATCAAATGAAACAATAATCCATGAAAATTATTTCCAGTCCTGTCAATCCAGAAATCTTCGATGGAGTCCCTTTATTCATAATTCAAAACTGTAGTAATTTGGAAAGAGGCTTCAACTTATAATATATATACCATAAACTTCCTCGTCTCCTGATCATTGTATCATTTTCTACTGACCATCGTACTGTAAACTTGAAGGCAACTCCTGGGTTGATGTCATTGTCGTCGTCAATACCGTATAATCCAATCATTTCTTGGTTGGCGATCTGATAATTAAACCATATCATTTTCAAATTATCAATTGTTTAACAGACTATATTAAACTTATAATTGATTACAGTCTATATTCAAAGTATCAATTAATTCACAAGCTATATCTAATCTCCAAATTATAAATTTATTCACAGGCTGAATTCAAATTATAAATTGATTCACAGGCTATATTCAAATTATCAATTTATTCACAGGCTATATTCAAATAATCAATTGATTCACAGGATAAATTCAAATTATCAATTGATTCACAGAATAAATTCAAATTATCAATTGATTCGCAGACTGGTCGTGTCCCGAGTAACGATCGGACACACAGTCTCTGTTTTACACCGCGGCCCCTTCGGTATTTTTTAATACAATTATTTGTCTGAAATTGAACTTCTGTTTTGAAACAGGTGTAAAATGAAATTTAGCGATGTAGTCCTGAAATCTCAGTTGTTCAGCCACTAGTACCTGCCGTACTGCACGCATTTCTGACTGGCCAGAATTTCTTAATTGGCGACAACTTAAAAAAGAATTTAGAAGTGCCATTTCAGTTGTTGAGTTAACAATCAGTAATGAGATCGATGTATGCTTGAGAAATATAAGTTATAAAATCTAAACATGTTGTTTTTTATTCCAATGAAACATTTTACTGATTTAATCCAGAGTGAGCGTATGCTTGCATGGGAGATAGTTGGGTCAATCGACCGTCAAATCAGTTAGCTTTTAAGTTAGTCCTTGAATATTCACAGATACGTACCTTTTGTTGGAAGTCATGCCATGAGATAACACAATCATTGGGAGGTACTCTAACACCTTGTCCCTGGGCTTGCCGTTCGTCCTCGCTGAGTTTATTGATGTCAGGTGTTGTTCCAGGGTCTACATGCGGTGGAATCGGCGTCGGGTAAATAGGAGGTTGATAACTCGGAGGTGAATAATAAGCATTGGGCCCGCCATAATCATTATTTCTGTAGCGGTTGTCATAATTGATATTTCTGTTGCTGCCGCCAAAATAATTGTTTCTGTCGCGACCGCCATAATAATTATTTCTGATGGCAGCTGCTGCTATGTGGCAGAACATTGCTGCAAACAAAAAGATCACCGTGCCTTTCCTGAAACAGCAATTAAAACATAATGCAAACTATAAATATGTCAATATTTTAAATATTTTACATGTTTAATAATGCAAAAACATTCTTTTGCATTTGATTGTTTGAAAGAAAAATAATAATGGTAAACAATTTACGCAGTTTACCGCTTTTTTCCCGTAAATATCAAATTATTAAAGATTAAAGATCATTTAGCCCGATGTTTTCATGTGTATCTGGATGTCCGTCTAATGGAAATATTACTATCTTATAAACTGTCTACAAACAATATATGTACATCTATAAAATAAAATGCTTAAAATAGCTTTTAGAAGGATGTCTAATTCTTCAACATTTTTAAATAATTTACATCATTTAAGATAAACATTTTGAAATACATGAAGAGAGGTTAGGAACAAATCATTCAAGATAAACAAAAAAAAAAATAAAAAAAATAAAAATAAAATAGAAAAATACAGAATCCCTAAAGAAAGCCCAACACGACAAAATTGAAAATGTTTCAGACTCGGTTTGATTGAGCCTGTTCATGGACGGTACTGGAAAGTGCAAGTTACCGTCCACGCCCCCTAGCACCAGCTTAAGCAGAATTCAACAAATAACAACAACAAAATGTATTTCACCCGAAACTGAAATGAAAAATTCTTACATGACTCTGCACTAGAACTCCAAGAACCAGAATGCGATCTTTTATTTAAATTTCTTTGAAAATATATATTTCTATAAACAAAAAAATATAAACTTTTGGACCAAACCGCAGGAAGGAAATTGAAAAAAAAATAAATATGTATTCATGCTTCCGCTGTATTCGGTTAAACATTTAACAGTTTATCTCATAAAATATGTCTAGTGTCAAGAATCAACAGTCGTTTATGCATCCATGACTTAAAATAAACAGCTGTTAAGGTATTAAATTTTAAAGATTGAAAAGCATAATATTTCATCGTTAGATATGAACTGTATTAGTAGAGAATGATGATGATGCTATTTGAATTGATGTACATAGACTCAATTCTGTTGTGTTAAAACCTGATATAAGCAAGACTCCTTGACTTTTCCTGAAAAAAATTTAAGTTTAGAAATTATTAAATCTGCGTATGATCTTAAAATGTGATAAAAATCTAAACAAATGGGTTGGGCAATGTGGAATACGATAAAATACGGTTTACCGGAGGGGACTTTAGGTTTACCCTCCGTCCGTCTGTCCGTCCGTCTGTCCGTCCGTCCGTCTGTCTGTCAGTCCGTCAGTCCGTCCGTCCACAAAACTGGATCCCGCGATAACTTGAAAAGTACTGAAAATATTTTTGTGAAACTTGATATATGGATAGATGGCAGTATGGAGATTATGCACGTCTTTTTCTTTTCTTCCTATGTTGAAAATTCTGGTTGCTATGGCAACAAATAGGCTGAAAATATGGCAAATTTTACACATAAACTGGATCCAGTGATAACGCAAAAGTACTGGAAATATTTTTATGAAACTTGATATATGGATAGATGGCAGTATGGAAATTATGTACGTCTTTTTCTTTTCTTCCTATGTTGAAAATTCTGGTTGCTATGGCAACACATAGACTGAATATATGGCAATTTTTACACATAAACTGGATCCAGTGTTAACGCAAAAAGTAATAGAAATATTTTTATGAAACTTGTAATATGTGTAGATGGCAGTCTGGAGATTATACACGTCTTTTTCTTTTCTTCCTATGTTGAAAATTCTGGTTGCTATGGCAACACATAGACTGAAAATATGGCAAATTTTACACATAAACTGAATCCAGTGATAACTCAAAAAGTACTGGAAATATTTTTTATGAAACTTGACATGTGGGTAGATGGCAGTCTGGAGATCATGCATGTCTTATCTGTTCTTCCTATTTTGAAAAAATATTGGTTTCCTTGGCAACAAATAGGCTTAAAACATGGCAAATATAACAATATTTGTGATTAGTCAAAAAGAGCTGAAACTTTTTATGAAATTGCATCTTTAATTCCAGAGTTATCTCCTCTTTAAGAATTTTGCTTTTTAAAATGTTATATTTTGGTAACAGGGATGTTTCAAATATTAACTTTAGAGTAGAGTGTCCTTCAGTCCGTCTGTCTGTCTGTTCATAAAAACTTTTTCCTGTGATCACTTTTAAAGAACATTTCCAACAAATTTACTTAAAATAGAGAAAAATTTACACATTAGTGAATGGCCAATGGCCCTTCAGAATGCTGATGGGGTTCTATCCGGTAGGGGACTTATGGATTGCTTGCAATACTATGATAATTGCTTGTTAAAGATCCTTTCAAGGGCAGTATATTTATACGCATTTCTGAAAACTGTTTGACATGATTTCATTAAATATTTTAGAACCTTTTCGGTTTATTTGCATAGATTTAAACAGTTAAAAAGGTCACTTTTCAACGAAATTGGAAACTATTTAGGCATGCTATGGGAGAAAACACACTCAATCTGAACTTGAGATTTTGCACACAATGTATCCACAGAAATTCAACTACTGTAAGATAAGGGACATAAAAAGTTCGTTATTACAATTATTCTGAGTTATCTTATAAGGCTTTGGGCCTAATATAATGTAAGGAAGACCCTCCAAACTTGTACAAAATCGAATCTGCAAAGGAATCAAACAATGCTGTTTAAACAATTTGCTTGAGAAAATGATATTTTTTTTAATTTATACACTTTTATACAGAAAGAACAAATCGTCGGTCAAGAAAACGACCATGCCATGCGAAAATCTCCTGGACATATTTCTTGGGTTAGGGCTTTGGGCCTTACATTATGTAAGGAAGACTCTCCAAACTTGACGTACAAAATCGAATTTTCATACTGTGACCACATATCGTGTGGTTTTAAACATATCTTACTTGTTTTATGGCAAAACATGTTTACATTATATTCCATTGAGACTGTCTAGCCATTATCAATATTTTCCTTTATCAAATTTAAGCGTAGTATATCTTGAAGAAATAACTAATCTTTTGTTTAATTGTTTTATCATACTTGCATGAAGCAATAATTAAAGTGAAAGGTAAATTCCTAACTGCGCCATGACTAGATATTACATTATTGTCTATTTTAGACTGGTTAAGGATTTACAAGAATTGAATAAGCTTTAGATAATGCAAGTATGATGCTTGTTAAAGTATTCTACAGTATTATACGGAAACAAATATTTCAAAAAGGTGCTGACAAACTATACTTATTGCAAAAAAATATACAAAAATGCTTATAAATATTTGAAATGTGCCATATTCTAAAATGTGTTAATTGCCTGTACTTACTCTCTCAAGTATGATCTATTACAAAAATAATTTTAATGACTTTTCTGTCAGTTGTACTTAATCAAGCAAATGAAATACATTCTTGTAATGTGTCATAATAAAGAGTTACAGGAGCGCTAAATACTTGAATAGTTCCATCGATTAAATTCCTTTGATAAATTGCGGTAATGTTGGCTATTAATATGCATTGGCTTCTTAGATTCTGTTTTTAAAAGCCTTCTTTTAATATCACAACAATTGATTTTGGGTAACTATGTTAAAGTCCAAGGTCACATATGCCTTAAATGTCAGAATGGTTTCCGCTCATTATCTTGAAAACTATTTATCACAAAGTCTTCATATTTCACACATACGATTTGTTGATGATCCCTCGGAAGCATTAATCACCACAGAATTACATGGAAATTGCAGAATCGGTGTGACTGTGTCTGTATATGAGGGATAATGACAAATTGCATCATCTGTCACGCCCAAAGCACCTGCTTGGGTGGTACTTAATTGTCAACAGGACCAGAAAAATATAACAACATTGAAGTGAAGTGAAATACTGAAATTCATAACTAAAATATAACATTTTGCTATCACTATAACGCAATGCCTTACTTACAAAAAAAAATGTTAATATGGAAATTATATTATACTCATTCGGCATAACTAAACATTTATTATAGTTAGCACTTGAGTATGGTTTAAATGTCAAAAGCATCGAGTTATTGCCAAGAATGATGTTTTTTGTTTTTTTCTGTCTTTTTTAAAAAAGATATATATTTATCTGTTACAGTGGTGATCAAGCAAATGTGCTATACATTGTACGTGCTATTTATATGTAAAGAAAATCTGTAATATTTTTTTTATCTGTAATTTTTGTTTTGTCATTACATTTTAATAACAAAAAAAACAGGTATTTTAATATGTTTGCTTTCAAACTGACACACAAATGTATAAATTAATAATATAACAGTCAGACAATTGGTTGTTTGTAAACTTTTATTTAAGTGTGGTTAGCAATATCAGTTTGCAAAACCCAGTACCAACGCCACATGTGCACATGCAAACGACGTTTTGATCGCCATCGACAGAATTAGCCAGCTTTTACACCTTCATCAAAAGCAGGAGTTCCAGGAACTGGGCATGCTGTAAATAAAAATAAACAGTGTGACTCAGAATTCGACACAAAAAACAACAACAACTTAGAAAAACTTAGTAAAAAATAGAAAGCTTTGTATAAAACACATGTAAGGTGAATATTAAAAATCAAGTGTTGATAAAACAAAATTTAATCACTAACTAGAACGATTCGAAAGTGTGTCTAGGTTTTAAAGTTTCCTAAGAAATTATGTATAAACCAAACTAAAACAATACAACTAATAATCAATAGTGAATGGAAGCTGCCTCAAAAGCTTTTTGATTAATGAATGCAAATTTATCCTATAACGGTTGTTTGAACTTTCAAATGATGCAATGGAATAAAAAATCACGTTGAATATGTATAGATGTTTCGAAATTAATTTGACGTGGTCAACATCTTGAATAAACGTTCTATTTTAAACAATTAAAACGAGACAAAATGTTAATTATCGATTGTAAAACACAAAAATTAAAACCTATGCTGTTTGGAGTTCTCCAAGCCCAAAATACTTGGGGGTCTTGATCGTCTTTGATTTCTTGGGATAAACATTCTTTCAGGATGCTTTCGAGCTCGCTCCAATCTATGTCATCCAGTCTTATTGGACCCTCTCGAATGCCAGCCCCGTTGATATCTGTGTCTCTTTGTTCCTAATAAAAGTACAACCCATTCTTATTTTATAAAGACCCTTTTTGCTTATCGTGATCCTTTTCTTTTTGAAAAAAAAAAGAATTGGAAACAAAATTAAATCATTTGTAAAATTGTCACTTAAACAAAGCAATGCTTACACGTCATATGAAGTCAGATATAACGTCAGTAAACCCGTAAACCAAATGACAGGAAAATTACTTCTCAGCTAAGTATAGTTCAAAATATTTTTATGAATTCTCTTTTTAATGAATATGTTAGAATGTAAATAAATATTAATTTGCCTTGTATTATAGTATACAAATGCACAATTTATCGTTCAAATGCTTCAAATGTATTTAATCACTATAAATCACTACTACCTTGCAAATTTCAACTCGAACTGTGCATTATTCTACAAAAATGCACTCAAAATTGATATCTATTTTCTAAATAGACATTAGAATGTATAATGTAAAGAATATACTTTGATAAAAACTATGAAATGAATTGCTGTCGATATATTAAAACTTAATATTCATATTAAAACGTTGATATTATTTCATATCGATATCATCTCATATGTAAATTACAACTAAAAAATCATTTCATATGTGAATTCTTAATAAATTATTAAATTGATATGATTTCAATTGTGCGATTTTATAACGTTGGTATCATGTCAAATAAATATTTTAACAATGTTAAAAATAACATATTAATATCATTCAACCGTGTACAAGTCATTTGAATTAAGATAATTTAAAAATATACTTTGCAGCGCTATCATTTACAATTGTAATTCTAAAATTAATTTCTTTTATGATTATGACAAATTATTAATTCGTGGGATCATTATGACCTTATGCATCTAACATTAAATGCATAAATTCTTACCCTGAAGACGATAACTGTTTCCGAATTAGGACACCTGCCATCTTGGACTTTGTCGGAATCATAGCATATGTAGAAAATGCACCATTGTATAGGATCCCTTCTAGAACAAACAAAGTAGTCCCTTCTTGTAGACGTTGCAAATACGTTTCCTTTGATTAGAAACAAACAACAATCATTTACATATATATTAGAATTATATATAAGCAATATTCAAATGGAATGTAAATTTGATATGGTCAGAATGTTAAAGAATTCGGATGTGTTATGAGGATTGTTTTTGTAAAAGTAATGTATACACGATACATTGATAATAAATCATAACGACCTGAGCAAATAAACTCATATTAAATGAACACATTTCCCCCACTATTTGTGTCTTTTAATATCTATTTACAATATAAAACATATATAACCAAGAACAAACAAATTCTACTCAAACCGACGCTTTTTACACGTTTTATTCTACTTAAATTGGCGAAAGAAGCCGAGCATTCCGATAGTTTGATTGTATCTCTGGCTTTTACCTACCGCCTATGGAACCGAATATAGCACGGTCACCATCTATTCTCCGAAACACTCCATCGGCAAAAACGCATCTCCCATTAAACCTGATTTAAATGGGTAATATTGAAGTGTATTAAATTTCTTTTTTACATACATAAACTAGATAGAGTACAGCACAAAGGAAGTAAATTAAAGAATAAAAAAGATTATTCAAGCAATAGTGTATCAGTTGACAGTATGTCTAATATTATCTTTTTATTTTGCTTTCATTTTATTTTATCAACAAATAATCCGATATTTAATCATGCTTACCGTTCAAAATGACCAAAAATTGTATAATTAAATAAGAATAATTAACAGAAAGTTGATAGTTAACAATTCTTGTAAACAATATCATTATGCAAAACATAGTACCAACGCCACATGTGCAAATGCGAGTGGTTTGTGAAGTATTCTAAATACACAAATCAATCTTTTAAACGGACTGACGTTTCTGGTATTTTAATACATAAATCAATCATTTTGAAAACTAGAAAATATAATTTAAACAGTTGAGTTTGATTGACTGATGAATGTTGAAACCAAAGAGGTTTTCTACTTCAGGTACATGTGTAGTTATTGTGTGAAAAGTGCTTTGTATAATAAATGATAGTAAATGAGTCTTGGTTTAATTCGGAATCTATTAATTTCGTTAAATAAATTCATATAATATTTGTATGCGAGTCTTAAAGGGTATAAAACTATATCTAATGAAATATTTATTTTTATAATTATGAAAATTCTTGACAGAGTTTGTAAGGTAGAATGTCTCTGTTATTTAAAACATACGAAAAACAATCTGAATGAGAAATGTTTTTATAGAATAATTTTGATATACAAATTTGAAAAAGAAAAAAAATCCTCTTTGAGTTGTGTTTTATTGTTTCAACAGGTGATTTAGTGTCCAACATGCTCTAAAACCATTATTCATACGTTATAAGACTCATTTGTGTGGTTTCAAAAGAAGGAGCGTTTATTCATTCGTTTTTGAGGCAAAATGTGCCTTAAATATTAATGTCTTTCTTTGGGTAGAATTTAACAGTTTAGTACATACACTATTTGATCTAAGGAAAATGAATAAAAAAATATTAATTTCTTTAATGTTGTCATGTACAATAGGGCTTTTATTTGAATTGAAAAAAGTTAACTACAGACATCAAATATAAAACTTTATACACTTAACTGAACACGGATGTAATATTTTATTCGCCACATTCCCAAAATAAGAACTCTTTACGGTAGACAAAATAGTTCACCACAACATCAGTGCGCTTAAATGCACATAACGTCACTTGCAAATGTGTACGATAATTCGTTTTAATACTTTGACCTTATTTACACTCTTTCCACGAGATATGTGTAATAATTCAGATTGATTAACTAATCACGGTGAAATAATTACAAATATTTTTTTGACTTAGTCATTTCATTACACGCATTTGTTTTAAAAGAAACTTACAACTGATATACGTACTTAACAATTATTTATGCGGTGTTTGACAACCCAATATGTAGTAATTATCAGAGAAAAAGAGTTTTGTTAGTCCGCTGATATGTTTCACAATGTTAAATTATTATTGATAGTTAAACTTTTTGTCCTTGAAAATTCATATCCAAACATAGTAGATTAGAAAATGTTTTAGCTTAATATATTTCGACATACCATAGGCTGCCTTGTCTTCTTAATGTTGTATCATTTTCTACAATCCATCGTACTGAAAACTTAAAGGCATCCCCGGGGTTTAATTCGTCATCATCATCTATGCCGTATAGTCCTATCCATTCTTTGTTGGCGATCTAATAATGAAAATTGTTACACATACTTATTAAAAAAAAAGATAAAAAATAGGAAAACCGTACTTATAAAAGCTTTACATAACAAATACATTGTATGCTTTCGTGGTCGAGCAGTAAAGGGCGCTGCCTTCATCTTGCTTGCCCATCTATGCTGTTGTTTCGAATCCCGCCAATAATTCTTGATTTTTTCTATGAAGAATCTGTCAAGTTAACTTACCGGAGACCTTGGGTTTTTCTCAGGTGCACTTGAGCCAGAAATAATGCCCGATTGGGCATCAGAAGTTTTCCTTTCCAAGAAAAGCAGGGAAGTCACACTTTGATTTTTACATTTTAGGTTTGACATGAAACCCAAAAAAAAAAACGAACAAACAAGGAAACAAACGTGTATGACATAATTCGTTTGCTCTGGTCGTACTGTATTTTAAATACAGCGCATGTAGGTTTCCATTATTGTGTTAGTCTTATATAACCGGTACATATAGCACATTAATATTAGACAATGTGTCATGTACTGAACGTACGTTGTATGATCACAGTAATTTGAAGTTCTATAATCACAAGTATACTTGGTTCAAGATCCAAGTAATAATTTTACATGTTACGAGCGATTATAGACTGATTTTGTAGTATCTATCACCATATGTATACTGCGTGACTAACGCAGTAAAGGCTGTTTTCCATATTTGACATTTTATTGGTAATTGAGAGTAATTGAGATTGATAATGCTAATTGAAATGTGTAAACTACTTTCTTTGTTCATTTCACAATACACATGGTTTTTACTTTTAAATACGATTTCAACATTCACAAATCTTGAGGCGTGCTGCTTTAAGCTGATATCTACTGTTTGTTGAACCTTTCAATTGAAACAAAATTATCAATCAAATTGTTTATCATTCAGGCAGTTACATCTTACTACATTTATATTTCATGTAAATTTCAGACTTCCGTGGTATGACAAACTTGGTGATATAAAGAAGAAAATATTATCTATACTATCAGTTGTCTAAATTGCCCTCTTATTGAACATTTCAAAAACATTAATCCATAACAATTGTGGTAAAATAAAATAAAATCAAATCTCAAATAAGAATCCACACAAAATATCTTGTAACAAGGAATCTTGAAAGAAAAAACAGCATTCGTCGTATTTGGCCTTCAAAATATAAAGACGTCGTATATTTGGAACATTGTTTTAAATTCAAATGAATCATTTGGGTAAAAATATCCAATTTGCTGGCTGATGTTCGTATTTATTTTTGTAAGTCCACCTTTTTCAAAATTTCTCAAAATTAAGACTGAATGTATGTACATTTGTAAGATTACTGTATTATCCGTTTGCACAACCAAAGTTCGGATCCCGTTAGTCTCAGTGTGGGTTGTTCCACGCATACCTTGAGTAGCAGGAAATTCCAGCCGAACTGATATCAATTGTGTTTGTACCTCTACACAATAATGTAAAATTCATTTTACAACATTATTTATTATTTATTAAAAGGGCTATCTATGGAGTATTTTTTGAGTACTAAAATAATTAATTTATGAAACTCGGATATATAGCATGGCACTTTATTCGTAAAAGTTAAGTATACGATGATGTAAAAATCTGGAAACAAAGTGATCTCTCGGAAGCATTAATCACAACAAAATTACATAAGAATTGCAGACTCGGTCTGATTGAGTCTATATATGAAGGATAAACCTCTTTAATATAGAGTAAATTTTCAACTACTTACGGTGCTACGCGCCTCATGTAACTCAATATTTTACATATTGGACAATATTCGGTTTATATCTATCACAAGCAAAACGTGAAAACCTTAACTCTTATTTCTTTATTTAAGTCTTGTTATTTGAAGCAGTTAATGATCAATATACCAAAATCAGTTTGTAACGTTTTCTGTTTAGTCAGTCATCAAAACAAATATTTTGTACAATGCCATACAAGTAAGGCATTGCTTTATAGTCGTAGCAAAAACTTTATATTTTAGTTATGGATTTCACTTCTATTCAATGTTGTTATATTTTTCTGGTCTTTCGAAGTCGTACATGTTGACAATTTAGTGCCACCCAAGCAGGTGCTTGGGACGTGAGAGATGTTGCAATTTGTCATTATCCATCATGTACAGACACAGTCATACCGATTCTGCAATTATCATGTTATTTTGTGATGATTAATGCTTCTGTGGGATCATCAACAAAATCACATAAGAAAATGAAAATAAGATAAAAATAAGAACTGTTCAATATTCAATGTCATTCAAAAATTGTAAATTACTAAGGTAGTTAGATACTTCGTCAGTCACTTATTTAGTAAAGATGTAACGATGTGCAGACATACCTTTTGTTGAAAGTCATTCCATGAGATAACACAATCATTCGGCGGTACTCTTACACCTCGTCCTTGGGCTTGTCGTTCGTCTTCACTTAGTTTATCAATGTGAGGGGTGGTTCCCGGGTCTACAGGAGTTGTAATCGGACCATTGTAAAAAGGAGGGCGATAGATTGGGCGTGAAATATAATTATTGAAGCCGCGGCCTTGATTAAGAAGATGTATTCTGGCAGATGCTATGTGACAAAAACCCGCAACAAGCAAGGAGACCAACGTACTTTTCCTGAAACAGGAATTTGAAAACAATTTTGTATGATGGGTATATCTAATACACTAAAAAAGTTTGGTTTGTATTATAAAATGCTCACAATTATCTATAAAAGTGAGTAACATTAATTGTATGTATTGCATGTCAAGTTAATTCCTTTATTACTACATACAGCGGAAAAGTTTGGATATCTTTTACAAAACGAAGGTAAGATAATCGAATATACGTTTTTTGCAATAATGACATTGAATATAAGCACATGTAAAATAAAAAAGTTATTCATTCAAATTGATAACATCACATGGTAGAGCATATAAATGAAAATAATTACATACATGACATTCATGCTAATGTAGACAAAAGAAAACAGATATGTTTTTAAAGTAATACTTGGCAAAAAATCAATTTACAAAAAAAGAAAAAAATGATAAATAAAAACATTTATGGTTCACAAGGGAAAAATATTTATATGCGATTTCAGACATAAAGTGATTACGAAAGTGTAGAAGCTTAATTAAATAAAGTAAGGGAGACATGAAACAAACTGTAACTGTTCTGTTTTCTATCTTTTGATAATTTATACTTTGTTTAATTTGATAAGAAAAATCTGGCAATTATATTTATATTATTTATAAGTCTTCTAATGTATCATTCTGTAATGCAATATGTCTTTAAATTTTTATCTGTTTAATAGTTTTATTTTAGGAATAAAAATTTCTGGATCGTTTCTTTAATTTGCTGTAATATTTAATATCACAAAAGCAAAATTAAAGAGGTTTTCAAGTTTTTGGAGTAAAAATAAGCTGTGAAATTTACTTCGTTACATTCGTTACCGTGTTTTGGCCATTTAAATAGTTTAGTCCAGAATATTTGCACTTTTGGTAGTTTCAAATCTATAAGATGCAATATTTCTATGTAAAACAAAACATATATTAAAATGTTTGTAAGAGTAATCTTTCCAGCTTTTAAACACGTTTTCCAAGATATTTTGAATTCATTAACTGTGTTTTCCATTTTATTTGAATATTTTGTTATCTGAGTTTAACACAGTCGCATTGGCTTTGCATTTGAGTTTACCTTTTATAAAAGTCGAAGACTTACAAGAATTATGTTTGCGGATCTAAAGAAGTACAGTTTATTCTTTTCTACGGCAATATGTGCCTCGAATATAATAAAATAACCCATTTTTGCAAATACTATATACGTTAATAATACACATGATGTTTAATTTTATTTGAATAAAATACATTTTGTGAAATCTATTATCTATTTTATACTAAAAACTTTCTTAAGAAACTTCTATTGAAATACACAATTTTAACAAAACCTATATTTCTGAAAGGCATTATGCATTTCATAGTTTTTCTTTTTACAGATTTTGATAAAGACTAAAACTAGAGTTCAACTTTTTAGTATAAATAATATCATAATGTAAAAAGGTCAATTATTTGAATGAATAAAAGTCGTTTTGGACAACAATAAATATATTAATTTTTGAAACAATTACAGTTTATCTATTTTTCGTGACCATGTCCTGGTAATTGTATTTTACCACGAAACTGTCTATTTTGATACCATTATCGTTTTAATAATAGAATAAATAAACAATAAATTAAAACAAAGTATGTATCAAAATATAAAATGTAATGCGGTAAGTAAATGGTCAAATTTCATCAGTTTTACATTACAGATTATAAAGTCAATGCGAACACCAGAAATTAAACAAAGAGAATGGTATAAAACTACAACTTAAGATCTTTAAATAAAATTTATCAAAAGAAAAAAAAGGTTTTCGAAATCTTATAGTTGATTTTAGAAAAAGTGGTAACAAAAAAAGTCTCTGATATTTAAACAGAATAAAGTAACAAAATTTCATAAGAGTTTTTTTGTAATCATTATGACGGATTTTAATTGTTTAGCAATTAGCAATGATTCCGTGGATGGTCAATACCTTAATGCAATATTCCACTGTATTTCTTTCAAAAAAGCATTATGGAAGTATTCCCTTTTTAACATTCAGGCAAAACAATGCAACAGATATATAGCTTTATACACTTAAACATAATAATGAATAAAGAACTCCTTACATGATATTGCCTCAAAAGTCCACAACAGCAAAATGCGATGTTTTAATTGCTAAGAAAGTATATATCACACGTAACTGATAAAAGGAAATTGACAACAAAAAATAATCAAGTTTCCGCTATTGCTGGTTGAAATGTCAAACGGTTTGTATAATTAATTATGTAAGTGTCAAACATCAGCGAATGTACAATTTAAGTACATCAACGTCAGCATAACATTTTGCTTTTGCGTTAATTATGAAATGTATAAAATTAGAAAGACGCAGGATTGGACCACTGCTTTGGGTGGTTGGTACTAATGTAATTGTTTTTTAGGAACAGTTTCAGTAACACCAGGTCTAAATTTCAAAAATATTTGTTTGTAATTTGATATCATTTCTCACGTGGCTCACGTACCTGCCCTCGCGATTTTTTATACATTATTATATTATGTTTTGTACAGATTCTTTGTGTATTCAATTTATAAGATTGAACTTTTATTAGTCCATCCATCGACATTTTTAAAACTAGCGAAGGGTAATGTATATTATTGAAGTTCAGAAATACATTAAGTTACCGCACAGTTAAAGCAGGTTGAAAAATATACATCTTTTTGTGAGGTTAGCTATTGTGTCGATTACATTGAGGACACGTCATCAGCACCAAAAACGTTATCAAGGTTTATAGATACATGATATACAAAATATGATAATCGATGAGCCTGGTAGAGGATTTTTATAAGAAAAAACAAGAAGTCATACGGCTACGTATCAGCTCTACTGGTGGAGGAGTACCTCAGGTGACCTGGTGCAATTCTGGCACAAGCGGGCACCTAGAAGAACCACGACATTTTGTATTATACAAGCTGGATAACTTCCACACACGGAGGAAGCTAAAGTCCTTGACTGATTCAAATCCACAGCGGCGATGGAGATAGATTTTGAGTGATCGACCATAATCACTCGAGCCCTAGAAAAATTGATACGCCGAGATATTTTAACATACAATTATGTGTATAGATATATGTTACTTTTTCTATGTACGTTAAGAGTTATGTCATAAAAGAATTACAAGAACTGCAAGCATATTTAATAAAACAAACATGTAATACATTTTGTTAGGTGCACATTTACTATGTGAGTTACTTATTATACAGAAACTGAATCATAGGCTTTGCTTTAATTCATTATCACAGCAAAGGCTTTACATCTTAAATTAATTACTTGAATTAAATTTATATGTTTTAACTACTTACTTATAATTAATTAATGAATGAATGAATTAATTAATTAATTAAAAGAAATAAATATGCAATTTCCGCTTTAAAATTTAAATGTCAAAATTTGTAATTTTAATAAAAACCTTAAAATAAACCAGCTACTTCCGCTATTATAGACATTACAGACTGATTCACGTACACATGTAGTTTGATTAATTATAGACTGAGTTAAAGTGCCCTCAGACTTAACGTACATGATATTCGTATGAAACCTTGGAAAAATATTTCATTTACTTGACATTATAGATAAAATAATTGTAATGTATATGAAATATATCATACAGATATGTGTATATAATGATAATTTTGACTAAGCAATTCCTAAAGAAGGGAAATCACTGGGAAGCAAATGAGTTCGTTATTCTGGAAATGGGAATCTACCTCCAGCATGTCCAGTCAAAGGTGTAACTTAAACACGTTATCATTTTGTCCATGTTTCCAGACCAACAAAAAAGTCAAAATCATAGACACATTTTGGACCAAGTATTATATATTTTAAACGGAAATTAAATGTGGTAAATTTACACACACCAATGTGAATTTTCTAAGCTCATGCCTAGATTAGGTAACTATGTCATTGGTCAAAATAGATATTAAAAATCATGTTATACCCCCCTACCACAGAATGCACTTTAATTTAGTGTCCATATACAAACTGTTAACATTTACTTGGTTAAACGTTTGATTTATATTCAGACATGCTTTATGGCCCTGAGCATTGAATGCAATGGTGTTTAATAATTTAAGTTGTGTATGACAGTCTTGAATGTTGAGGAAGTCTTCCTTTAGGGAAAGTGTACGGTATTTGTGGTTTAATAAATGATATGTGTTATTAGTTTCAAGGAAAGTTTCGACTATTTATAAATATAATAATGTACATGCAAGTCACAAAACCAGTTTAGTTTTGAATAGTAAAGAAAATGTACTGTGCAAATAATTATGAATTTCTTAACTTTCCTTAATTACGGATTCTTGTAAATTCTTGAATAAACGACTTTTGTTCTTGCCACATGATTTTCGGAAATTATATAAAGCATAACGCTTGCAAGTATACATGTATAAGCATTCGATACAAAGTTTGATATTTTAAATGAAAAGTTCACGATATTAATGTATCATATATTATTGGTATACTATACAACTATATTTCTATGTGAACAAAAATGACAAATATACAGTCTGATATGAAACATACTAATTCCCATTATTCAAATCAAAATTGCAATGATTTAAAGATTATGGATTTTTTAGTGTTTTTTTACGTCCAAAACTTTAATCGTCTTACAAATAAATTATTCTGAATCTTTGTTGTAGTTTGTAGTAGTTTTTGTATGGAAAAAGAAAAAGCAGTTTTTCACAATAATTTCAAAATGTTTTTAAAGTCACATGTTTCAATACCTAAAAGTATGTACAATATGATATATAAATCACTTCAGAATTGTTATTGTATGAACTTACATATCATGTCATTCTTAGTTGTTTTAACTACTGGGTGTTGGTTGCTTCATTTTACCCGTAAGAGGCCAGTTTAGCCTAATAATAAACCTTTGAGGGAGCTTGAATCTCCATGAGTACTTATTACTATAGTAATTGCATAATTTGTAGATATATAAGATCCTTTCTGAGAGCGATTATTACTATTTCTCACAACAAAATGTACAGCAGAATTATATATATGACTATTTTCGTAAAGAAGAAATTGATCAACTTTGATAAATTTAAACAAAGGCAACAAATGTTGGAAGATGCCTATTTAAAACTGTTCTGGCACATAATCGATATCAAGTTCTCTCAGACTGGAAATAAAGGTAAGTAGATAAACATTTACAAATATAACTTAGAAATATACTCTGCTTTTTAGGCAATGATTTAAGTTTTGGTTGTCTTCAATAAAACAACAACAATAAAATAACATTTTAAACTGAAAGTACTCAAAAATAACAAATAGCTAACAAAGTATCTCGTTAACAAATATATCATTTAAAACACATAAAGATTATAAGTGAATAAATGAACATCAGTATAATTATCATAATGTGAAACGTTAATGAGCGCAACCTGTTTATCTGAAGAACATATGTTGGGTGAATACTTAGTCTAAACCTCTACAATCAATTAAATGAAGATTACATACCCACCTGCAAACGAAATATTAACCTAGTTATCTCATTATAAACAAGCCTTCTTGAGTTTTACTAATGACACTTAAAACATTTTGAGTGATTATCAATAGTTAAGCAATCTTGTACGCATTTCCTTACCTTAGAATAGATTATCTGGTGTTACGTTGGAGTATGATAAATCGCCCACTTGAAACCATCATTTAAAAACCTAAAAGTAGACATATTCTATTTCCACTGACCTTACTTTTGATTAATGAGACGAAGTAAACTCGAATTCTTTTCAGGTTTTCTCGGACTGTTTATGAATGTTTCGGATGCTGTAAGGTAATTTATATGAAAAGGTTCCCTGAATGATAAGCTCACTGGGCGGTTTATCAACAACATTATGGAAAGAAATGGACATGAGTGTGCCGTGTTAATAATATAAATCAGAAAAGTAGATATTATCATTTCATAAAAGAATAAATTGAACGCCAAAACAATAAAAAGAAAAACTCCTCACCAATACTAAAGAAAACATGAAATTCAAAGAACTCTGTCAAGTATGATGACTTTGCTAATTTAAAGCAATGAGAACAAGTTATAGACTAAAGCAATAATGAAATACTTATAAAGATTGATTACCTTACATTATATTTAAGGATTCGTACAAGAGGGTTTTTTTAAAATAGATAAATACAGAGTCCCTAAAGAAAGCCCAACACGGCAAAATTGAAAATGTTGCAGGCTCGGTTTGATTGAGCCTGTTCATGGACGGTACTGGAAAGTGCAAGTTACCGTCCACGCCCAAACGTGAAATAGTAAAATTTTGAATTTAGAAACATCCGCAGATGTGTTCATACGGCGGTTATCATGGAACCTTCAATGTGACACTACCGTGCCATTCCATGAAAAGCGGCGTATGGTCCCCAAGTAATAAAAAGCGTGTGCCCTAAACGAGAAAACAATGGGCGGAACTAAATAAAATGGAATTTTGAAAGGGGATCAGAGGTTATGAAGCCTGCGTATCACAGATAAGACGTCAAAAGACAAATTTAAAAAGCAGGCAACATATCCTAAGGGTGATTCAACATTATTCAAGTAGGAATATTGGAACCACCCAACTAGAAAATGCCGAAAAGTTGAAACTAAAAATACCACAAGCACAACAATAATGTCGTGCTGAACGATCTTCAAGGATCGAAAATATAACATCATTGATTAAATGTACGGGGAGACTTTTTACAGCCGCCACACGGCACAAATAACACGGATGTGATCATGAAATAGATAAATACAGAGTCCCTAAAGAAAGCCCAACACGGCAAAATTGAAAATGTTGCAGGCTCGGTTTGATTGAGCCTGTTCATGGACGGTACTGGAAAGTGCAAGTTACCGTCCACGCCCAAACGTGAAATAGTAAAATTTTGAATTTAGAAACATCCGCAGATGTGTTCATACGGCGGTTATCATGGAACCTTCAATGTGACACTACCGTGCCATTCCATGAAAAGCGGCGTATGGTCCCCAAGTAATAAAAAGCGTGTGCCCTAAACGAGAAAACAATGGGCGGAACTAAATAAAATGGAATTTTGAAAGGGGATCAGAGGTTATGAAGCCTGCGTATCACAGATAAGACGTCAAAAGACAAATTTAAAAAGCAGGCAACATATCCTAAGGGTGATTCAACATTATTCAAGTAGGAATATTGGAACCACCCAACTAGAAAATGCCGAAAAGTTGAAACTAAAAATACCACAAGCACAACAATAATGT